TATAAGTTGAATTGGTTCTGGGGTTTCTGAAATTGACTTTCTAATCTGATTAGATTTAAAGATGCTAATGACTCCATTTCCATTAGTAAAGACAGCACTGATAGTTCATGATCAGGCATGATCTAGCAACAAAGATAGGCAAAATATCACCATTGGAGACTCCTAAACAGTCACTCACAAGAAGCAAGGATCTGAATGTCTGTGTATATGACACTTTTGAACATTTTTGTCAAACTTACAAATATAAGGAGATGGACTCATTGCTCCTAATGTTGGTGGACAGATGGGAAAAGAAAAGAATGGGTTCAGGGGTTCAAATTCCCAACTCAAGTGCCACGTATATGATCTGAAAGCTCTGTGTGTGCGCCTTTAGCTGTACGGCTGAAAATCTAAAGCAGGATCTCAACCTGCAGCTGACTGAATTACAACTCCCAACCTGGTGGGGTGTCTACTATTAAAGGGCATTGACTGGAAGGGATCTGGATACTGAAAGGTGGAATGGGGACACATGAAAAGATCTCAGTGAAGCTAGGAACATGGAGTCCCTAATTCTGATGAATCTTTTTGCCAAAGGAAGCAGTCTCTCTACTCACAATGGAAGAGGCCCTTTCAACCCCAGTAGAAGCAGCCTCTCCATCCCTGTTTGAGGGGATTCACCCTGCAATGCCTGATGAAACAGTAAAGGCCTACCCTGAGGGGGCTGCACACACATCAGTGCGATTGTTCTCTACACATCCATGCGCCTAGACCTACAACTGGACTCAAGTCCCAAGGCCCCTGAAGCTTAAGTACAAAGCGTGACCCATGAGGATGTGCAGTTCATTCCAAAAGCATACAAACAAACAAACTTAGTTTTCCAATTTGTACAGACAGAAATTTGGAGAACATGCACTGGAATGGATAAGGATGTGGGATAATGGTGTCAGAAATATAAAGTTGGATCAGGCCAATTTCACTGATATGGGCTGACTAAGCAGAGACTCTGCATTTAACTACACATCTTAGGGAGTTAGAAAGGGATCTAACAATTTGGTTGATTGGCTAAAACATAGATCAAAAGGTGGCCCACAGTGAGCAAGTTGGAAATGCTGGTTCAACTTTGGTTTAATGTAGGGGAAGGGAACCAAAGGCTTAGGGAGACCGGACTGCTAGAGTGGATTTGTCACTTAAGAGCTACTCATTCACCTTGGAAACGTTCGGAAGACACACTCTTCAACACAACTACAAGGAATAAATCTGTGAGGTGAACCCAACAGCCCTGAGGAGCTCTGTTGTTTGCTCATCTTTCTAAACCAGACCTTACACTGGGATCTGCTGTCATTTTGAAACCTAAACGCAACAGAGTTACTGAATCCCAGTTCAGTTCAGATGAGTCTCTAGGCTCTGCGACCCTCCTGGACCGCAGCAGGCGCCAGGCTTCCTTGTCCATCACCAACCCCTGGAGCTTGAGGACAAACAGAATGAATCCCGGCGGTAGGGGCCGAAGGGCACCACTCAGCTGCCAAAGAAAGTGACTGTGGCTACTGCAGTGAACAGCAGGGTCAAAGCAGCAATTAGAATAGTAGGAATCAAGTAGCTGACCATGGTATTCCTAGATGTGAACTAAATAGCAAGCTTACTAAATTATTGATCTGTATAAGCAGAAAAGTCTATGTTAAGTGACTAAAAGTTTAACTTGAATATAAAAAGAGAGAGTCACAGCCCCTCAATCGGTTCCCAGACTTGAGCCATTTTACAGATGTAGAAGCTTTTAAATGCAAGGGTCTTGAGGAAAGACCCTGGTACACTGCTAGAAATTTATACTGCTAATCTTTATCTCAGTCCTCCCCTCAAGGGATCTATAGCCTTTTACCAGGATAGCCATGCACTGGGGGAAAATAAATGGTCAGAATTTTCCAGGCTCTGAACTGACACTCATTCCAGGAGAAAAGCATCACTGTGGTCCACCAGTTAGAGTAGGGCCTTATGGAGGTCAGGTGATCAATTTTATCTCAGCTGTGACTCACAGTGAAGACAGATATGGATGTGGGTTCCCACGTCCATACTCCGGCTATTTCTCCAGTTCTAGAATGTAATAATTGAAATAAACATGCTCTACAGCTGAGAGATTGCTCAGATTGGCCCTCTGATCCATGGTAAGAAGGCTATCCTGCTGGGAAAGGTCAATTGGAAGCCAGCAGAACTGCCTCTACCTAGGAAAACAGTCAACCAAAAGCAATTCTACATTTCTGGAGAGAATGCAGAGATTAGCACCATTATCAATGGCTTGAAAGATGCAGATGTCGTTATTCCCACCACATTCCCATTCAACTTTCCTACTTGATCTGTGAAGAAGTCAGAGGGATCGTGGGAAAGATAGTGGATTATTGTAAGTTTAACTGAGTAATTACTCCAATTGCAGCTGCTATACCAGATGGGGTTTCATTGTTTTACCAATACACCCTGGTATCTGGTAATCTGGTATACAGATTTGATCTGACAAATGTTTTTTCTGCATGCCTGTCAATAAAGATCACCAGAAGCAGTTTGCTTTCAGTTGGCAAAGCCAGCAATACAATTTCACTGTCTTACCTTAAGAGTGCATCAACTCTCCAATCCTATGTCGTAATTTAGTTTGCAAGAATCTTGGCTGCCTTTCCTTTCCACAAGAAATCACTCTGATTTATTACATTGATAACATTACACTGATTGGACCTAGTGAGCAAAAAATAACAACTACTCTAGACTTATGGGTAAGACACTAGTGTCAGAAGGTGAAAATAAATCCTACAGGAATTCAGGGACCTTCTACATCAGGGAAATTTATAGGACTTCATTAGAAGTAGGCCATGTTGAAATATGCCTTCTAAGAAAGCTGAATGCCGAAGAATTGATGCTTTTGAACTGTGGTGTTGAAGACTCCTGAGAATCTCTTGGACAGCAAGGAAATCCAACCAGTCCATCCTAAAGGGAATCAGTCCTGAATATTCATTGGAAGGACTGATGCTGAAGCTGAAGCTCCAATACTTTGGCCACCTGATGTGAAGAACTGACTCATTTGAAAAGACCCTAATGTTGGGAAAGATTGAAAGCAGGAGGACGACTGAGGGTGAGATGGTTGGATGGCATCACCGACTTGATGGACATGAGTTTGAGTAAGCTCTGGGAGTTGGTGATGGACAGGGAGGTCTAGCTAATTTTTCTTACAGGTTTATGTGTTTTAGATTTCCCCAGTGTTAAAAATTTATGAATATTAATCTGTCTTATTAATCTGTGAATTGAACTCAGGTGTTGGAGAAGACTCTTGAGAGTCTCTTGGACTGAAAGGAGATCAAACCAGTCAATCCTAAAGGAAATCAGTCCTGAATATTCATTGTAAAGACTGATGCTGAAACTGAAGCTCCAATACTTTGGCCATTTGATGGGAAGAACCGACTCATTGGAAAAGACCCTGATGCTGGGAAGGACTGAAGGTGGCAGGAGAAGGGGATGACAGGGGATGAGATTCTTGGATGGTATCACTGACTCAATGGACATGAGTTTGAGCAAGCTCCGGGAGTTGGGGATGGACAGGGAAGCCTAGCATGCTGGAGTCCATGGTGTTGCAAAGAGTCGGACACGACTGAGTGACTGAACTGAATTGAACTGAAGATGAAGTGTAAGTTATGGAACAACTGAAAAAGAGCCACAATGCCTAGTGGACCTCTTTGGAATTTAGAAGAAACATATTCCACACTTGGGTGTGTTATTCTGGCCCATTTACTGAGTGACCTGAAAAGTTGCTAGGAATCATGGATTAGGGAATGAAGTGCTTGAGGAATTACGTAGGTGCACTTGCCTTCAGCCTCCACAAAATAACTAGGAAGCACTGCAACTGGATAGCCCCAAATAAAACAGAGGGAATAATTTTCAAAAGAAAAATCGATGGCAGGCTTCCCTGGTAGCTCAGTGGTACAGAATCTGTCTGCCAATGAAGAAGACACACATTCGATCCCTGATTCCAGGAAGATCCCATCTCAGAGCAACTAAGCCTAACCTTTGAGCCCATTTTCTAGAGCCTGGGAGCTGCAATTACTGAGCCCACATGTCACAACTACTGAAGCCCGCTCACCGTAGAGCCAGTGCTCTGCTACGAGAGCAGTACCCATTCCCTGCAACTAGAGAAACGTCCATGCAGCAACAAAGACCCAGCATAGTCATAAATAAATAAATTAAAATCAATGAATATAATCTATCCTACAACAGATGAATGAAATAAATCTGGTACTCTTCTGTCTTCTAGTGTCCAAGCTAGAAGTTCTTTTCAGTAGCCCTTTTAAAACAACAGGCACTGTGCTTGGCAGCTAAATATTATTAGGCATCCTTCATTTATTTGACTCACAACCAGAATTTTTCATGGATAACACATTTCTAAGTCAGATATAAAACACATAAACCACTAAAGAAAATAAAAATAAAGATTCATGTACTGTTTGAAAAGACCAAAAGATAAACAGAAAACTAGGCATAGTGTTGTAACATATATGTAAGACAATGGATTAAGAACCCTAAAATAAAAACAACTTATGAATCATTAAGATAAAACTAAACATTCCAAGGGAATAAGATCATGAACAGATTATCAATAAAATACACATATCCAATAAAGATGTAAAAAATATTTATCCTCAATGCAGTCCAAACAGGTCAGACTCCTAGGTCACAGAGGAGGGTGGGAAAATGAAGAAAGACTTGAGGGAGCAAACAGAAAATATATCACACAGTAAGCTTTGCTAAATAAAGTCTCTGAGATTTTCCAATAAGATATCTATACATCTGCACAAGAGAAATATGAAGAAAATTTGCAAACCTTTATTTGGTTCTATTTGCTCCTTTTGATAGGTATGCCTAAACTATTTTAGAAGAGGCAGGAATCATTGTTTCCTTAATAAATCAAAATAAAAGCTAGTGGATTTCCCCATTAGCAAAAGCCTAGTGGGATTTTACCATCAGTAGAAATTGTAAAAAAACAATTTACTTACCCTAGAGGATTTCCTCTATGCTACAGGAGTATGGTATAGTCCTCCCATCACAGAGTGAGCAATTTGTAGCTCCTGAGACTAGTACAATTTGATCAGTTGAATTTCGCCATCTCCAGGTATAGAGCTAAAAATGAAGAAGAAAAATACCTTATTATTACTTGGAAATTACATCCAATTGAGAGCTACATACATTGAAGCTATTGATCAGTCACAGTGAGTATTAATATCCTGAATTTTTTTTTCCAATTAAGACGTAAAGATTCAAGGCATAGTCTAGCCCAGATTTGGCAAAAATCCTACAACAATGATTATGTACTCAAGTGTTCAGTTGTTTGTTCAGTTCATTCAATGTACTTTTATGTAGTCTATGTCAAGAATTGTTTGAGATAACAGATACCCAGAGGTAAATTCCTTCTGGAACTCATAGTAAGTAACGAAGACAAATAAAAAATATTACACAATATGATAGGAGGCATTTGATACAAAGTGAAAGGGGCTATAAGAATACAAAAGAGAATTTCTGAGATTTCTTAAAAGCAGAGCCTAAGAGACAAGGATTCTTGTGCAAGTGATTTATTGAGGGAGTATGTTCAAGTGAAGCATAATGTACAGTGAAGGCAGCAAGAATCTAGGCAAAGAGGTAAGTTCAGTAGTTTCACTTTGGTCTGATCCTTCAAGAAGCCCTGGGTCATGAGCAGCATGATGAAGTTATCCCACCTTGAAATAAAGGCCCAGACCTTGTATCAATAAGGCCCAGTTTCCAGGACAGCCCTGGGGAGTGGGCATAAGCTCCCAGGTATTTTCAAATGCGGAGGCTTCTGTTGACCAGGGACAACTCAGGCATATCCCTGTAGTCCATTAGCTGTCATCACTCACAGCAGCTGGGGGATGGGTGCACTGGCCCAGGAAATAGAATCTGTGTCTACTGCATTCCACTATTTACACCATTCAGACCCACTCGGCTCTCACATTACATTCACATCACGACGGCACAACTTCTCCAGGATTTGGGTTGTTCAAAATTCCTGGAGAAACTTCCAGGAGGAGGGTTAGTGAGACAAACTACAGTCCCCACTGCACAAGTACTGGCCAGTTGCCTTCTCTACTCACCCATTCTATTCTAGAGTCCTTTCTGCCTTGGATAATACTTCTGTGGATTCAGATAGCTTGCCAGTACGGTGACCAACACTGTCAGCCCTGGCAGATCTGAATCCCTGGTTACCCTGATCGTTCTGGGTCATGGTTGCTGTACTGACCCACTTACCGTTACACATGCATTATTAACGTGGAGCATGGGGAATACCAAGAGATGACCCATGGGGTCACTTGTGTGCCAGAAATATTCCTCCCTACCCCACAGTGCAACAAGTCTTACTTCCTGCTTATCAGAGTTGTTACCCCTCCCAGTATGCTAACTACCCCTTTTTCCTGCTGGTCTATTGGTACAGGAGTGCAGAATAACCAGTGGCAGCTGCAGCTTTAATTTCAGTGGAAAACTTAAAAAGCAATCCTTTTCTTGAGGCCTCTAGACACACAAAGCCTAAACATGCAGGATCAGAAAGCACACATTCATCAGGTGGCTTACTGTCAGTTACAGGTGTGGGCTGACTCCCACTTAACCTCCATGCCTTGATTACCAGATCCACATGTCCCACCTGCTGGGGACACAGCACCATGGCACAGGCTGTCATCTTCAAGCCTCAGCTCACCTTCAAGAGGCCATCCCAGCACTGTCCAGCTGGCAGCTTCTGAATGGTATAGTACATAGTAGGAACAATACACCTCATTTGTCATATATGGGTCTTGGTTCACAGCAATATCGCTTAAATTGATTGGGGGCTCAGTGCTGGTCTTTGGGGCTGACAGGTTAGTCAGCCATGGTAGTAGCTGGATGAACAGTACTGAGATGGAGCCTGTTTTAATGCACCCATCCCTATCAGGGTTCTGACGTATCACAGGCTTGCTGAGGCTATGAAATCAGCCTCCTTTAAATGTTTGCCACTCTTAACAGTTAAATCCCATGTCTGGTTATTAGTTCAGCCTGCACTTTGGCAACAAGAGGCATAGGTCTCTAACTGGAGTTAAGGAAGTATGTTTTACCTTAAATTGGAGATGGAGTCTAACCCTGTCATTTTCTCTCTTTAAGGCATTAATGGCGCTTAGCATCAGTTCCCAATACCTCAATCTTCATAGTTATAATTGACCTGAAATTCTTAAGCCTCAGAACATTACACAAGCTATGTCCACCTGTACCCCATCCAAGATCACCAGAAGTGAAAGTCTCAGCAGTTGTATTGCTACAGCAAGTCAGACTTTGTGGCCATCCAGCTGGTGAATGATCTGACCTCAGCCTCCCATCCTCGGAGACTACTTTCTAAGATCATTCCTGGTACCGACTGTCTTAGGCTGGCTTTTCCGAAAGAAGAGCCAGAGATAGGGATTCTTGTGCAAATGATTTGGTGAGGGAGTTCTCGCAGAAGAAACCGTAAGTTAGTGAGGAAAGCAGAATAAGGCAGAGAATGAAGCTAGGCAGAGAGATAGCAGAGGTCAGGCCTTCGCGATAACCTGGTAAATTCTGCAGTATGAGGGGCAAGCTGAGGGTCCCACCTTGAGGCAAGAGGGTAGCCTTTCATCTCCCTATGTCCTCAGTTCTGGACAGAGGACATTTCAGATATTTTTGAGTGAGCAGGATCCTGTTGGTGGGATTGCAATCTTCTGGTATTAATAAAAGGGATCTGGTCTAGGCACCAGCAGCTCTCCTATAGAAGGAATGAGAAACACTTTGCTAAGGAATTAGAAAAGATTTTGTCATGAAGATGACATTTGGCTTGTTAGGAAGAGAAAAGAGGTAATGTAATTAGGCTAAAAATGGAGTAGGCAAGGTAGGGCGTGAAGAGTAATTCAGGCACAAGATCACTGACTTCAAATCTGAAGGAGATTTGTGCTCAGAATCATATATGCTTGATTTCAACATTCTCCTGAACTCAGTGGAAGCTCGTCTACTAGGTGTTAATTTTTATTTTTATTTAGTTTCTTTTTCTTTTCCTTTCTGGATTATTTTCTTTAAGCTATAGGCTGCCAATTCTTTCTGGCAGTAGTATTACTGAATATAGCTAGTTAATGAGGTACGCTGGGGTTAGTTTACAACATTTACACTAATTAAGGTATTTAAACATCTCACTAGAATAATAATAGACACCTTATAGAAAGGCTGTATACTTTGGCAGATGTTAAAAAGGAAAAACTGTGTATGGGAGGTAGTCTTGCCAGGGGCTCCAGAATTTCTGAAACAGTGTAGTATATAAAGGTTTATATTTAAAGTAAAACTGTAGCAAAATGGCCAACCTGGGTTAGAAAAAGAGGAGACTGTATAATTTTGGATTATCCCAATTTATTATTTGCAAGATATAATACATAAGAAAAAACACAAAAGAGACATTTGACCAATAGCATTACATTTTGAAATTTCTACATTTGGATCTCATAATTTGAGTAAAAATGCTGTCTTTCATATAGATGTTCAGATAACCATCATCATTCAGTTGAGTTACAACCTTCTGGGAAAAGGTGCAAGGAAAGAAAGACTCAAGGTTAGGTATTTGCAAGTGCATTTGGGTGAGCGTGCATATTTCTATACCTGTCTGTGAAGTGAGAGAGACTTTTTGTATCTGCCATTTCAAAACCAAACACAAATAATCTCCATTTTGAACTGTGCATACCTGTGTATCTCTGGTGTAGTGTGTAGGTAATCAAGATTTAACACCACAATAAGGCCAGCATTTGAAATTAGAAGAGGAGAAAAGACTTTCTTTAGAATCTACCAACCTGGAACTAGTGCTATGCAGTCAGAAGCTTTGGTTATTAAATGAAATCAAAAGCATATCAGGCCGATCAACAGCTTAAAAACCATTAGTGTTTCATTTAGAGAGAGTGTCTTGTTTCTGAAATATTCATAGCTGGAGTCCACCACCACTGCTGAGATTTATATCTCCTCTCTTCCCATTATGCTTGCTGAATCTCTTCACTTGCTATTGTAGGAAAAATATTCAAAGATTTATAGGCAGCAAAGAGAAGGCAGCAAATTATGACATCCATTATTGGCATCTGCTCTTGTCTGTATCCCCAGGAAATGCAAATACAAATGAATTCCAATTTTCTGCTACAACTGAGTTGCAAAGGGAACTGTTATATGCAGATGAGGCAACTTCTATTTGGACAGAGATAAAATGGAAGAAATTTCAGTCTACTACACTTGGCATACCATTTGCATAACTCTGAGAAAACTGTCACAAAGGGATAATAAAAAATCATAAGGCTCTTAAAGAATCACATAAAATGCCTGTAGCTAGGCTGCTTATAAGAGAAACAGACACAGCTTTAAGTTGCATGGGTTGGTACAAGATCCAAAAACAAAAGGGTGATTAAATATAGATGCTTCTATATTCATTGGTAAAAGTGATCCCGCTTCTCATGTTTGGCAAAGGGATTATTACAGTAGGTTTGAAAATAACATGATCCAGTATTCAGTAAAGACAGACCTGGCATAAGCCATTGTTTCTCCTGAAGGAATGACAATGACAACATTTTCCATTATGTTGGAGGCTCTTTGAAAGCAAGGAACTCTTGTATCCGCTGATGTCCTATATCCTCAGTGTCTAAAGTAGAGTTTTGAACGTGATAGCATCTCCAAATGAAATGTTCAATGATAGGAATTGAAGGGGTCACAGTAGGACAGAAGTGGGACTCAGGAGATTAATGTTCTTTGTCTAGACTTTGAGAATTTGGCCAGTTTTCCCTATTTCTACGGCCTCACTCCCACCTCTGAAAAGAAGGAGGCAATAATATCCATCTTAATTGGTTTGAGAAAGAATTAAGTGAAGTATCTGTGCTCAGTATAACATCTGGCATAGATCTGTCTTTTAAGACCCAAGTCCTTTTGTCCTACCTCCTACAACTCTGCTACATATGTTAGCTGAGGCTTAAGAAGGTCAGCAGTTTCTGGCAATCTCAGACCCCAGGCATATGGCTCATGTTACCTGTTATCTGTCTCCTCTTATCTTAACGCTCCATTTGCCTCAAAATTCCTTTCCAACATTTACTAAAACTTTGGCCTCTGACTCTCAA